TGCTGCACCATGTGGGTTGGCTCCCTGGCTGGGGATCAAACTCCCGCTGCAGTGGCTGCCAACAGCCTCATCGTGCTGAGACTTAACTCCTTGCACCACCAGGGAGGCCCCAATTGATCCCCTTTCATAACATAAATGCTAGACAAAAGCAAGTCAAGCTATCCAGAACAGGGAAGAGTAATTAGAAAACTACCTAAACAGAACCCTCTTTACACCTACATTGAAGAACCATAGTTTTAGCCTAGGAAGGCATCTTAGAATTCGTTCAGACCAAACCCTCACCATCTCAGAAGAGGCAGAGGGAATTCAGAGAAGTGATTTATTCAAAGTCTTCTAACTAGAGAGAAACAGATTTAGAGATAGAACTTATTCTTTCATTCACTTGGCCCTTAGGAAGTCCTCCTATGTGTCAGGTAAGGGACAGGAATTGTTGAATTTTTTGCTGGTTCAAGGAGTTATGAGATGGTAACATGAGTGTGAGTAAAAGAGAGGCATAAACTGCTCAAGTCATACTGTACTTTAGTAAAAGAAACAATGCTTAAGACTCCAGTTATATTCCAAAAGGTAGTTTTTGAGAACTCTTGTTTGAGAGTTTTAAGCTAGGGTGTTATGTGAAAAAAAAAAAAGGTGAATCCTTCACCAAAGCTGGATAAATAGGATCCTGGTTTACAGATTTCCTAAGAGTTCTTCCAAGTACTGTATGTCTCTCATCCATACCAGCAACATCAATGCTGTTTATTATCCTTCTTTGATGCAAAATTAATGCATGATTCTTAAATACTGCCAATTGTATAAATAGAAATCAGTGAATTGCTTTCTTTTACAAATTGAGTGTGAAAAGTGAGTTTTTGCAATTGACGCTAAATAAATTCATGTATTAAAAAAGTATGTTTATTTATAATATGATAAATACCTGAACATGGGTTTATTTAAAATAAGCCAAAAAATTGTGGGGTAATCGGAGTAAAATTATAATAAAATGAACTGATAAGTGAAATAATTAATTATAATTGCAGAAATGCCAAGGTCTGAACAAAGAGTGGGAATTTTGTGACTGGCTGTGACTTAAGTCTCTGTCACTGGTCCCTGGAGGCAGCTCAGAACCATGTTGATTCAAGTTCCTACGTGCCCAGTAAGGATTATAAGGATTACTATTTTTTTAATCACGGCAACTAGTTTTTATTACTACCCAAAACATGGCACAAAACTTGATTGACCATGGTGATCTCTCACACTACTCTTGATTTTAATTGATTTGTTAATAACAGTCATTGTTCTTAAATGATAGAATTGAATGTGAGCTCTAGTCAAAAATTCTTTTAGAGGATTTTGAAGCAACTGTCTAAAATAAAATTTTTAACTCCTTTACCAATTTGTTAAATCTGAAAGTACCCGCATATAAATATATAATCAACCTTGAAAAGTAGGAGTTTTTCACTTTTCCACCTGCTGATTTTACTGGGAAAAATTAAAACAGCAAACACTTGATGTTGAAATGTCAAGGCTAAAATGTCACAGAAACATCAAGTTCAGAAAAGTTGCATCTCCTGTTCTGAGTAATCCAATGATGCAGTCATCAGCATGTCTTTAAGGATGTGGATGTGACCTTACATTGCAGAGTTTCATAGCTGCAAACTTAATATTTGCTGTCACAGTCCTTGAGTCAATACTCATGCCCACACAATAAAGCAAGTTTCCATTTCATTCTTGAATTCACACAGGTAAGTGGGGTGGGTATGAGTTCAAACTCAGAGGTACATTATTACATTAATCTGAGTCCATTAACTTCAGTGCTGTTTCTTTCTGACTTCTTTTGAAATTAAGTAATTCTTTACCTGCTGCCTTCCAGTGAGTGGTAATAACTCAAAAGAGTGCTGGAAAGACTCAAAGACTGGATTACTGCTTGGTCAATGACTATTTCAAGACCCTTACTTCTTCATGCTTCAACTGTTCTTTTTTGTAAATGAAAATCATTACTGGCCCAACTCCACAGATCACTAGAATAAGAACACTTAAAATGCTTTGGGAAAAAAGGCATATGACTTTTTTCACTCTAAAAAGCAAATGATACAAAATAGGAAAATGAACACAGAAAGTAAATAATAGAAGAAATTGGCAATCTTAGACAATGTTGACACTGGCCATTGTCTTCTCTCTTTGTTGTCTAATCTCAAACTCTCCTGCGGTTCCATAGTGGTTAAAGTTTGTGTGCATACTGCCAAATGCATTCTTTAGGATCCAACAATACAGGGAAACATGCAGGAATATAATTCACCACCAAGAAACAGAATTTCACTTCTATGTCTGCTTCCTCTCCCTACTATAAACTCTGATATTTGATGTGAGCACAAAGCCTCATTTGTTTTGGTGCAAATATCCAGATATGTGGGTGGACACATTCTACCAAGGAATGTCATCAACGTTCATATCTGTAGATTCCACAGCATGAAGCATCTGACCAATTGCTTCTCTCAGTGTAAGTGTGAAGCATTTTTCCTACCTGAAAGTAAATTACTTCCACAACCACCCAACCTAGTCCCCCATGCACAGAGCCAGAACCATATAAAAGGCTCTCTGCTGGGTACTGTGGAGAATGCAAAGATGACTAAATGAGTTCTGGCCCTTGATAGGAACTTCACAGGCCCACATTCTTAGATATAGATCTTAGGCTAAGTTCTCCTCCAAAACAGACTGTTTATCTTTCTGTCCTCAGGGCTTAGTGATGTAGTTTGGCTAAATGAATGAAAGAATAGTTGAATGTTCTAATGAAGATGTTTCCTGTTCTAGGATGTTTACCCACAAGAAATCATTTCTAGTCTCTTCACAACTGATCCCAACTGCTTAAGAACAGTAAAAGGATGGAAAAGGGAAAGAAGGACCTATCATAGAAACAGATTAAAGAACAAGATGGACAAATGGAAACTGAGGAGGAATAATTTGGGAAAAGGGAAAAGAAGCACTGTTTAGAAGGAATCAGGAAAAGGAAATTTCTGCAGAAACCTTTAGAAGAATTCAGTTGATACTAAATAATTAGAATGAAACAGATAATAACCTTTGTGGGACGAGAAAAAGAATTAGATGGAAACAGAATTAATTAAAGATTAGAAAGGGGAACACATGTTTCCTCGTGCTTCCAGCAAGTGCCAAGCCACTTGGGCCAAGGATGGAATCTTACATAATGTTTGGAAGAATTAAGCATCTCATTTGGACAAGGAAGGATGTGAACATCATGGGTCATAAGATCTCTGGCTACTTGCTGCCTTCATTACTTAAGGCAGCAATTCTCTTTTTGATTTCCAGACCTCTTTATAAACATTCTTTAACATTATCAAGGATTTCAAAAAACTTTTAGTTATGTGAATTATATCATAGTATTCATCATACTACATATAAAAACTGAGAAATTTTCAAAATAATATTTCAAATCAAGACAAGTTTCTTGAGTTTCTACACAGACTAAAAGTTCAAGATTTCAACATATAATAGTTAGATATTTAAGAATAAGGAAATTATAGCGATCCCGGCAGATGTGACCAACGATAGCTAATAGGGACCTCGCTGGGTGGCGCAAGGGGTTGAGTCTCACGCAAGCACTATGAAGCAATCTGCAGCCACTGCAGCATGTGTTCCATCCCCCGCCAGGGAGGTGATCCACATGGCGCAGCATGTCTCGCCGCTGTCTTGGCCGCTGCTCCCCTCAGCAGTGTATTTCATTAGTCTGCCTGTTCTGTTCCCCAGTCTGTCTCTGGTGAATCCTCTCATCCGCCAACACCTCTGGCCTGTAGCCCAGTTCTTGTATGCGTAAATAAATAAATCTTTATTTTAAAAAGATAGCTAGGGCCTCCCCGGTGGCGCAGCAGTTGAGCGCTGGGTTGCGAAGCTGCCCGCAGCCTCTGCGGTGCCGGTTCGATCCCCGGCTGCTCCCCGGCTGCTCCCCGGCCACCAGAGGAGGGTCCCGCATGGCGCGCAGACCTCTCTTGCCGCCCCCTGTTCTCCTCAGCAGTGTACTTCGGTCCTTCTGCCTGCTCTGCTCCCTGCTCTGGTGAATTCTCTCACCCTCCCGCGCTTCTGACTGTACCCTGTGCTTATATAAATAAATAAATAAATAAATCTTTAAAAAAAAAAGATAGCTAATAAAAGGTAGGAAATACTGAGAATAAAATTAAAAATCTCTATGAAAATGTACATATTGACACTTAAACCTGCTATCATAGAAACCACAAGACTACACATGCAGGCACTCTATAAACACAGCGATGACATCACTGAACATCAAATAGCCTCTGGAAATTTCCACTGCGCACTCACGAGAGAAAGAGAATGAAAAAGCAAATCAAATCTTGTAATCATAATGGAAATAGTTTTCACCCCTTGAAAGAATCCTGGAGGCGTCCCGGAACTGGAGGACCACGTTGAGAACCAATGTGATCTATTAATTTATTTTCACGTCACTTCCCATTTCATATTACTAATAAAGTGTATTTTCTCTGATGACTATTGTGTGCTCATTCCTGGATCACCTGCTGAACTACGATGACCTAGAGGAACGACAAGACCCTTAGCCTAATAAAGCAGGAGGCCGGGGCTCGACGTGTCAAATGCGCTTGGCTTAGCCCTGGGAACTGACATTGTTCGCTGAATTCGCAGACGACTCCTGATCTAGAAACGAATCCAAAACTTTGCCAAGGCGGGGCCAGCACTGGCGGCAGGCGGCGGGGCCAGCCCAGGGCTGAGCGCCGGAGAGGTGGCAGCCGCGAGTGAAGCGCGGGCTCCCCAGGACGCCTGCCAACCCGCCGCGCGCCTCAGGTAGGCGGGCCCCGGGAGGAGGGGCGCGGCCAGGTGCTCCGCAGGTACCCGCCGCCTCCCTTCCCCACTGCTCCGCTCCGCAGTCCCCCGGGATCCAGGCAGGAACCCGAGCCGCGCGCGTCCCGTGCCAGACCCCGGGCGCCTGCTTCGCCGGTGCGCGGCCCTGCCCGGAGTGTCGCTGAGATCTGGGGGCACCGAAACCGAGGGCCTGGCGGTCTCAGGGACCACCCGACGACGGGGCTCTGTCCCGGGAGCATCTGGAACATGCGCCGGGAGCTGCAGGTGCGGGACGCGGAGGCTGGGCCCCGGCGGGGGAACGGGTTACTCAGACGGGCCTCCTGGGCGGACGGAGTCGGAATCCCACGAGAGCCAGAGGGTCGCCTGCGGCCACAAGTGCCCGCTCAGCCATCTGCCGAGTCCGGGGGCGCGCGCGGCATTTGTCCCCAGGCGCTCTTGGGGCCGCTTTCTTGGCGCGGGTCGGCCCTGGTGACCGAAACCACGCTCGGGCGCAGCCGGTGACTCAGTTCTCAGAAACTCCAGGGCTGAGCCAGGGGCTTCTTTGGACTGTTTTTTGATTTGTTGCTATTTGTTAGTTTATTTGACAGTTGCCAGACTATGTTTACGCTTCTGGTTCTACTCAGCCAACTGCCCATAGCTACCTTCGCGTTTCCTCCTTACACAAGAAGTCCGGGGGAGTCCAGGCATGCGGGAGAAGGTAAGCGTGCTTTTCAGGCCTCCAGAAAACCCCCTTGCGAACTGCAGCCTCGTCTTATAGATCGCAAACGAGAAAGTGTGCTATGTGAAATTACATTGCCCCATCAATCACAGAAGCACTAAAATATCCTTTAGTTTAATTTGCGGCCTATTTGGTAATGTGGTTTGTTGTGTTAAGTGTAATTTACACAAATTTATTTCTGCGAGTTTCTTTTGATAAATATGTGAAGACCTGGTTTGTGGTTAACGATTTCAACTTCTGAAAATCAGAGAGGGCGTTCTGTCTAGAGGAGACTATTTGGTAATTATAATTATAATTACTCCTTCCTGGAAAGATGGCATACAGGGAGCCTGAAGTCTAGTCCGGACTTGTAGTGAGACCCTGGGCAAGCTACTTGCTTAACTCCTTTCAACCTGAATTTTTTGCTGTTGTTGTTGTAAAATGATGGAGATGGGGAGCGGATTGGTTCTGAGGTTCTTATTGATTTTATTTTTTTTTAAAGATTTATTTATTTATGCATATAAGAACTGGGGTACAGCCCAGAGGTGTGGTGGGTGAGAGGATTCACCAGAGACAGAGTGGGGAACAGAACAGGCAGATTGACTGAAATACACTGCTGAGGGGAGCAGTGGGCTAGTCAGGAGAGGTCTGCAGTGCCATGAGGGAAGCTCCCTGGCAGGGGATCGAACTCAGGCTGCAGTGGCTGCTAATGGCTTCATAGGTTGTGTCTTAACCCCTTGCACCACCAGGGAGGCCCTCCTTATTGATTTTAAATTATCTGATTATCTGAATAAAGAATGATGATTATCAGAAAAGTAGATTTGGGGCTTGCTAAGCTTACAAGTTCACATCTTATGTGTTGGTTCCTGTTTCAAAAACAGACTAGTTCCTGTACACATTTAAAAAACTAATCTAGAAAAAAGCAAGGACAGCACACACACAAAAGGGTTTTGTGTGTGTGTGTGTGTGTGTGTGTGTGTGTGTGTGTGTGACCTTCGCTGGGGATCGAACTGGCGCTGCAGAGGCTGTGGACAGCCTCGCAACCCAGTGCTCAACCGCTGAGCCATCAGGGGAGGCCCCACAAAAAGGTTTTGACTTTCAGCTTTCTCCTATCTAGCACCCTACTAGTGCCAGGATTCGGGATCTACTTCCCCATATTTTCCTGTCCCTTATTCTTTCTCATTAGATCCTACTCTGAGCTCATTTCATTTGGGGAGGATCTATTACACTAATAATCCTTGATGACTTATTAATCATTAATACAGCTTAGTATGTTAAGACTTCCTATGGGTGTGTGTGTATGTGTGTGCACGCGGGTGTGTGTGGTTTAAGATAGCGCAATATCTTAACCTAAAGGACTCAAATCCTAATGGAAGAATACTAAGTAATTGGATAGGCTAGTTAGTGTCATAGGGAGATTTTGAAAGTAGATTCTTCTTAGGACCACCCAAGCACACTCATATATAAAGTTAATACTTCATGCTCAGTGGGACCAAATGGTGATCCCCAAAGTGCTTGTGAGAGTGTTCATTCACATTATACAAGCATAAAAGACATTCTCAAGGATATCACCAACTGTGGAAAGAATGTGCACATAGAAGGTTGGTGATATCTGTGGGAGATGTAAATAAGGGCATATATATATATATATATATATATATATATATATATATATATACTTTTTTGAAGATTTATTTGTTTATGCCCACAAGAACTTGGGTATAAGCCAGAGGTGCGGGAGTGAGAGGATTCACCACAGACAGAGTGGGGAGCAGAACAGGCAGATCTACTGAAATACACTGCTGAGGGGAGCAGCGGGCAAGACAGGAGAGGTCTGCTGTGTCATGTGGGTTAGCTCCGCAGCTGGCCGGGAGTCAAACTCTTGCTGTAGTGGCTGGCAGTAGCTTGATGGTTCTGTCTTTAACCCCTGTGCCACCAGGGAGGCCCTATATATTTTTTAAATTGATTTATTAGTACATACTATGTGTTAGCTATGAGTTCCTTCATGCTATGTGCTGATAATGCAAGGCTATGATCCCAACCTGGAGGACTTCTCCATCTGGTGGGGGAGGCAGGGTGTAAAGAGATAGTCTTTATAAACTATGAAAGAGGTAGGAACAGAATGTTCAACAGCAAAGAAGAAAAGTGAGCAGCAGTATCTTTGCCTCAGAAGAGTTATATGGCACATAAGCCAATTTTCTCTATCTGCAAATGAGATATAATAAATGGAGATAAGAAAAGCAACTAGGAAAATACGACATCTTCAGCTAAATTCCGATAAAGCCCAAGGGTGGAGTTCAAATGACTCAAAAGGGAATTTATTTGGAAAACATGGGAAAGCAGAAGAAAGGAAAAGAATAGAATATCTGTGTTGGTAGATTTTTTTTTAAAGATTTATTTATTTATGCATACAAGAACTGGGGTGTAGGCCACAGTTGTGGGGGAGGTGAGAGGATTCACCAGAGAACAGAGTTGTGGAGCCGAACAGGCAGATCTACTGAAATACACTGCTGAGGGGGAGCAGTGGATGAGACAAGAGGTCTGCTGCACCATGAGAGTTAGCTCCCTGAATGGCCAGGGATCAGACTCATGCTACAATGGCTAGTGATAGCTTGATAGCACTGTCATAACCCCTGCACCACCAGGGAGGCATCTGTGTTGGTAGACTCGAAATGGCAGAATGTACAGACAGCTTTCTAGGAAGGTCTCCTGACAGGAGAATAGAGATGGTAGGAGAATCAGAGGGGGCAGATACAAAAGAGCGAAGGTCAGTGCATTCTCAGCGTTGGCCAGAGGGAAAATAGGAATTCTTACCAGAAGTTCAGGAAATGGAGGTGCTGGGAAGTTTAATTCTTTCAATTAATTCAGGTTTACTTAGAACAGAAATAGTAAGGAAGAGTAAGGGACAGTATTTCTCCAGAGGTCATAGGTGAGAAATCGTTTGATAAGGCACTGAAGGTGGCTGAATTGGAACTTTCACACCAAGGAAGTGGCAAATAGCTGGTGGAAGGCACAGGCAATGCAGGGGTGAGGAGTCTTTTATTGGAATAAATATTTCAGGGGGCCTCCCCAGTGGCGCAAGGGGTTAAGCACCGCACTATGAAGCAATCTGCAGCCTTTGCAGCAGGAGTTCGATCCCCAGACAGCCAGGGAGCAACCCACATGGCGCAGCAGACCTCTCCTGTCACGCCCGCTGCTCCCCTCAGCAGTGTGTTTCAGTCAGTCTGCCTGTCCTGTTCCCCACAATGTCTCTGGTGAATCCTCTCCCCCTGCATCTCTGGCCTGTACCCCAGCTCTTGTATGCATAAATAAATAAATCTTTAAAAAATTAATATCATTTCAGGAATAAAAATGCTTCTGTCTTACTTTCCTTCGAAAGTGAAAGTAGCTTTATTGACTCACATATGGAGGGCAGGGTGTGGTGTTTTTACAACTCAGATAACTTACTTGAACAGATGACTGTCATATTTGGTGCTTTTTTAGCAATAAAATTTAGAGATCTGTAAATATCTGAGAAGGAGCATACAGAGGTTCTGTTAACTTGTGGTCATTTCCTTCCCACTACAAGAAAGTTGAGTTCATTCATTAATTTAGTAAATAATTTTTGTTGTTGTTGTTTGCATAGAAGATCTAGGGTGTAGGCTAGAGGTGGGGGGGGCAAAGAAGGGGGTAAAATGATTCATCAGAGACAGAGTGGGGAGCAGAACAGGTGAATTTACTGAAATACACTGCTAAGCGGAGCATTGGGTGAGACAGGAGAGGTCTGCTGCTCCATATGTGGGTTAGCTCCCTGGCTGGGCATCAAACTCAGGCCATAGAGGTGATAGCGCTGAGACTTAACCCCTAGGCCACCAGTAAGTAATTTTTTTTTAAGCATCTCTTTTGTGCCAGACACCACCATCCCTGTTTTGTTTTGTTTTTAAGATTTATTTATTTATGCATACAAGAACCAGGGTACGGGCCACATGCACGGGAGGGTGAGAGGATTCACCAGAGACAGAGCTGGGAGCAGAACAGGCAGACTGACAGAAAACACCGCTGAGGGGAGCAGCGGGAGAAACAGGAGAGGTCTGCTGTGCCTTGTGGGATTTTCGCCTTCTCGCCGGCCGGCCGGGATGGAACCCTCGCTGCAGAGGCTGCGTACAGCTTCACAGCGCTGTACTCAACGGCCTGCACCACCAGGCGAGGCCCCACCATTCCCTGTTTTTTTTGTTTGGTTGTTTTTTTTGTTTGTTTGTTTTTGTTTTTGTGGGACCCTCGCCAGCGGCCGGGGAACGAACCGGCTCTGCAGAGGGTGCGGGCAGCCTTGCAGCTCAGCGTTCAACCTTGCAGCTCAGCGTTCAACCGCTGCGCCGCCAGAGGAGGCCCACCATTCCCGTTTTAATGGCGCATTAGCAATGTGGCAACAAAAACATGCGTAAACATATAGCACACCCAATGGTGATAAGAGCTATGAAGAAAAACAAAGTATAGTAGTGGGTGGATAGGAGGGAGTTTCAAGATAACCCTGAACAGAATACTGAAGGAGATAAGAGGGCAAACTGAGAGAAAGTTTTTTTCAGAGGAAATAGTAAGTACAAAGGCAGGAGAGAACCCGGTGTTGGAAGCCAGTATATCTACACCAGAATGTTCAAAACAGAACTATATGGGAGCCAGAAACCACTTAAAAGGTCATTGCAAGAACTCTAGTGAGAGATGAAGACATGGAAAATTTTTCACTTTACCTCCCTTTGGTAGGTGGCACAAAATCTACAAGACAGGGAAAAGAAAGAACAGAAATATTTCACTGGTTTACCTTTTAGAATATTTCTTAAAATGACTATTGCCAATTATTCCATTCTAGCTCCTTCCTGAATTGAGAAAGCCCATCTATTTTATTTATAACATAGAAACAAATAGTCTAGAATAGGGCCTCCCTGGTGGCCTAGGGGATAAGTCGCAGCACAGTTACCACTAAGGCCTGAGTTTAATCCTTGGCCAAGAGCTAACCCACACATGGGGCAGCAGACCTCTCCTGTCTCTTCCACTGTTCCCCTCAGCAGTGTATTTCAGTAGATTTGCCTGTTCTGCTCCCCACTCTGTCTTTGGTGAATCCTCTCATGCCCACACCACAGGCCTACTCCCTAGTTCTTCTACACAAAAAAATAAAGAAGGAAACATAAAGAAAACACCTTAGAAAATAGTCTAGAATAGCACTGACCAATAGAAATGTCAACCACATAAATAATTCAAAATTTTCTAATAGCCACATTGAAAAATAAAAATAAATCAGTGAAATTAATTTTAATATTTAATTTAAACTAATATATGCAAAATATCATTTCTAACTATGAGAAATTGATGAGATATTTCACATTCTTTTTTTTTTAATGGAGTCTTTGAAATCCCATGTATATTTTATGGTTATGGTACATCTTAATTCAGACTGACTACATTTCTAGGACTCAGTGGCCATCTATGGCTAGTGGCTACTTGAGAAAAAGCAGCTCTATAAGATTCAGGCTTGGCTGGAAAAAATATCTTGGACAAGGAGCTAAGAATAAATGACCAACCTGAAGTCACTCACATACCAATATCAATATTTCAGGCCCTATTATCTATCGTCTTTTAATTGACTACTGTAATATATTCTTCCTTTGGTAATAGCAGTGAGAAATAACAATATTTTTAAATTCTTTTAAACATTTGATGTAGTTCTCAGAGAGTTTCTTTGTGCCAGTTTTAGTAATGTGATCTGGAGCAAGATCACTGAATGTTTGTGACACAAAAACAAATTAAAAGTGTGTGGGCTTGGAAAATATTGCCATGGTGGGATATTTTGGTTTTGTGTCAACTATGCTTAAGTCTCTCTGTTTACCATTTACATTACTAGTAAATGCAGAGGGAATCTCATGAAGCATTCTAGACACATATTTGAGAGACTGTGTGGAAGAAACTGTTTCTTTGGGAGGGGCTGAATATCTTTTAGTGAATCTTATAATTAAAATACAAGTTTGTGCCATATGACTTCACTCATATGGAAGATAAAGAAACAAAAATAAACAAATAAATAAAACAAACAAACAAAACACCCTTCGATTCTGACAGCAGAACTGGTTACCAGAGGGAAAGGGAACAGGGGCTAGATTAAAATAAGTAAAGGAGGGGCCTCCACTGGTGTCTCAGTGGTTGAGCGCTGGGCTGCGAGGCTGCCTGCAGCCTCTGCAGCCTCTGCAGCGCCAGTTCGTTCCCAGGCCACAGGGGATGATCCCACAAAAAATAAATAAAAAATAAATAAATAAATAAATAAAGTAAAGGGGGACAATTGTATGGTAGTCGATGAAGTAGTAACAATTAACAAATATAAATCTGAACACCTGAAAAATAAAATCAGATGCACAAAAAAATAATGAAATACAATTTTGTAACTTAGAAGGTTAAAGTGTTGTAAGTTTTAGTATTGATTGATATAATGACCTTAATTTGCATAATTATTTAATTATACATGTTATAATTTTATAACTTAAAGAGATCTTAGTGATTATTTAGTTCATGTCCCAGTTTTACAAATGAGGAACAGCAACCCAAAGATAGAAGTGACTTACCCCAAGATATACAGTTGATAACTAAGCCAAATCAAAACTTATCTATACACGCAGCAGCAGCCACTGCCCAGAGCAGACTGCTTGCTCACATGCCTCCTTCACTTCCTCACAACCACATCTGACAAACACCATATGGCTGAGATTGAGAAAGTTGATAAGTCAAAATTTCTAAGGCAGGGCCTCCCTGATGGCGCAAGGGCTTAAGTTGAAGCTCTATGAAGCTATCTGCAGCTACTGCAGCACGAATTCAATCCCTGGCCAGGCAGGTGACTAACATGGCTCAGCAGACCTCTCCTGTCTTGCTCACTGCTCCCCTCAGCAGTGTATTTCAATCTGCCTGTTCTGCTCCCCATTCTATCTCTGGTGAATCCTCTCACCCCACCCCCCACACCTCTGACCTAAGCCCCAGCTCTTGCATGCATAAATAAATCAAATAAATCTTTAAAAAAAATTCCAAGGCAGAAATGCAAGAGAAAAATCCACTGACTTCCAAGGAATTATTAAACAGAAGACGCACCCAAATGAATCATAAAGAGATGTGCACCATCAATATACACATTGCACAAACATTGCCTTCTTATTTTACTTCTTTCGACTGTGTAACTTTGTAAAATGCAAAGACGTTGGATCAAGTTTAAATGATTGTCATCAAAGAATAGAGAACTTACTGACAACCAAGGCCCAGCCTACCTTTCCCATCTATCTACCTGGCAGGAAAAGAAAACGACTTTGCATGTTGATAAAGGAAGAAACTGAGTAGGCCAATAGTAAAATATAGAGTAAAAACCAAGCTGGTCCAAGGTGTCTGCAGGCTGTAAAATGCAGTTAGCATACCATTTTGTTGTTATTGTAAAAATGATTTAAATTATTGGAATTCACATGTTTTTAAAAATGCAGATTAAAAGTATTAAAAACTGAAAAAAGAAAAGCAAGAATCTCTGTCTCTCTTAGTTCAATACTCTCTTCATTTTGGCAGATTAATTCTTAGCCAATAATAGGGAACCTGTCTGGCCTGTTATTTACTGGAAAAATAATTCACTGGAGGCAAAAATGATATTTAAATATTTTCAGTTATGCTAATAATGTTGGACATAGCCAACTCAAATATTTTCTGGAAGGATGCTAATGTTTATGTCAAATTTATCAAAAATTATTTTTGCTGATGGTATTTCTTTTTGTCAGATTTTAAAACCATAAGAAAGTGTGGTATAATTAGACCACACGAAGAGTACTAGTCACTTTTTCCACAATTGAAACAGAAACATTTGCCTTATTTTTATCAATGTTTGAAATCTTTCTATTTCTCTATTAGTCTTTGAATCAAAAGAAGAAGCAAACCTTTTCATACATAGACACCTCCTGTATAATAGATTTGATTTGGAGCTCTTCACTCCCGGTGACCTAGAAAGAGAATGCAGAGAAGAACTTTGTAATTATGAGGAAGCCAGAGAGATTTTTGTGGATGAAGATAAAACGGTAATTTGGTGGCTGATGTTAAGTTAAATTGCCTGGAAATTTATTAAATTGTACTTAAGAAAATGGCACTTCTGTCACTAGAGATTTTATGCTTTAAATAAATCAGGTCTGTGTACCTATTATCTCTTCCTGTGGTCTTAACATATTAATTATTTAGACTTGGCTTTCTACTTAATTAACTGGGTTTATAGTAATCAGCAAATTATTCATTATGTTATCATTTAGTGTGGTTAATGTTTATTGTATTAAAAAAACAATCACAGAGTGGTGAATGAACATCAGGAGATCATTTGAGTTAGTCCTCTGGCTCAGAGCAATTTCTCCTGTCAGTGACCTTACCTGTTTTGATTACTATATTTATTCTCAAATATTTATCCACAACCAATGTTGTCATTGCCAAGTGCTCTGCTAGACACCAAAGATACAAAATATATGGTCCCTGCTCTCAAGAATGTATTATTTGGTATAACTATGTAATTTAAGGGAGAAACTTTTAGAAGTTCTCACTTAAAATATAATTAAATGCTGTTTGTTAATCTCAAAAAGGTACAAAATAAACAGGCAGCACTGTCTGTTACAAACTCATATTCTTGAAGAATGTTAAGTGATCCAAACCCTTTACTTTTGTAGATTAAATAATCCAGCCCCTTTGTCCCTTCCTTATGAGTTCTCATTTTACTTGTTGGGCAATCAGAACCTGTCCAGATAGCCTTTAATAGTAGTTGGTAATGGAACCTAGTTCTTTATTCTTCCATAATTGTGCCCAGCCTCCCATCCCCTGCAAGTGTCTGCTGCATCTGTTAGAGAAGGAAAACAAAGCATATACTTTGTAGTGGTGGCCATTGAGATTGTGTTGTTTTTCACAAATCCTTTTCCTGATTTTTATCTAATTGTCTTAAAATCCACTTCCTTTCTCTCATATAACAAACTGAGCTTAAACACTCAGATATGGCCCTCCAAATCAATAAATACCTTTCAACAAAATCTCCTGGCAAACTGAGGACCACTGAACTTAGGAATATTTGGGTTCCTTTTCAAACATGATAATGAGTCTCCTATCTCAACTTCCATCTTTGGTATTTTCACTGATTCTCTAATGCAAAGGCTCCTCCTGATGCCTGAATGGGGGCTTTGGGCAGGTAACGGGAGAGTAATAGGGTTCAGCAGAATAGAGCTACCACTGGCAGTAATCCCCCGACCAGTTCTAGAATTGGAAGAAACAGTTGTGGGTGTGGAACTTTAATTAAAGTGAGTCACCCCCTTGAATGAACTGGTATCCTACCAGTGGAACATGCCAAGAATTTATTGCCCCTGGTCTAGGTCATTGGTACTAAGTGAAATGATAATAAAGAAATTAAATAAACTTGTAAAATTTACCTTTCTCTTAGATGACATTTTGGCAGGAATATTCCATTAAAGGACCAACCACAAAATCAGGTATGGCAAGAATTGATGAAATGTAATGTTTTTCCCACACTCTGTCTGTTATAATACATTTAGTTTCATTGTTTGAGTTTGGCTGTTGCTCAACAAACAAGACTTGTAAATCCAAGGAAGATTTCTCAATTATACAAAGGGCTATCTAAGACAGAGAGGCCACATTCATCTATTTACACACTGAAAATCAAGTTTGGTGAGATACTAAGGAAATGAGATAATAGGCTGAAAGCTGTTTTAAACAATTCAGCTAAGTCAAGACTTGCATTGAATAAAAGAAGGACTCCATTAGTTTTAAGTAGTAAACTATTATAATTTTCTTTTTTACCATCACAAGTGAATAGAATCCTTTTGCTACTAGGTAACTTAAGACTGTTAGAATTAAATCAGTTCTGGTGAGGGGAGAATCTTTCTTTTATTTATATTATCATCTCTATCTGCTTCTTGGTCTGGCAGGTTGTTTTGTTTGTTTACTAGTTATTTTATTCCCCTTAGGTGGGGTTCAACCATAGGGAAACTGTATTACATAACCATGTTTAATAAATTTCTTTTAATACATTTATCCTGGTTGTTAATATCAAAATGTGTCTAGTTGAACAAGAGATGTTTATTCCCCTGAATGTTCACTATTATCCATTTACCATGTCCTATGGACCAATTCCAAAGAATTAAAACCATAACTGGGCTTTTAGGAAAGGTAATTTAAAATTATTTCAAGTTATGTCTTAAGCACAAAGACTTTGAAAAGAAATCAACATTAATTATTAAATACTTAATAGTGTGCTTATACCCAGTGTTAAATTTATTGAGATCAGTTATTATATTTATGTAATATTTATGTTATTTTAATGATTTCTCTTAAGAAGGTAACAGAGAGAAAATTGATGTTATGGGCATTCTGACTGGATTAATTGCTGCTGGAGTATTCCTGGTCATTTTTGGATTACTTGGTTACTACCTTTGTATCACTAAGTGTAACAGGCAACCACATCTAAGGTAAGTACCTAGTAAAAATATTTCATTTATTCATTCATTCATTCATTTATACAAGCAGTGGGTATAGTCAGAAGTTGGGAGGGTGAGAGAATTCACCAGAGCCAGAGGGGAGAGCAGAGCAGGCAGACCGATGAAGTACACTGCTGAGGGGAGCAGCGGGCGGCAGGAGAGTTCTGCGCGCCATGTGGGACCTTCACCCAGTGGCCGGGGATCAAACTGGCGCTGCAGAGGCTGCCGGAAGCTTCGCAACCCAGCGCTCTACCACTGCACCAAGGGGAGGCCCACAACATTTTATATTGTTATTTTTAAATGGATGTAGCAAATGCCTGCCTACTTTTTTTTTTTTTATAGAGGCATGTTTTTATTTATTTATTATATTTGTTTGTTTGTTTTGTTTATACAAGCACTGGGTACAGTCAGAAGCGTGGGAGGGTGAGAGAATTCACCAGAGCCAGAGCGGGGAGCAGAGCAGGCAGAAGGACTGAAGTACACTGCTGAGTGGAGCAGCGGGCGGCAGGAGAGGTCTGCGCGCCATGTGGGACCCTCCTCCGGTGGCCGGGGAGCAGCCGGGGATCGAACCGGCGCCGCAGAGGCCGCGGGCAGCTTCGCAACCCAGCGCTCAACCGCTGCGCCACCGGGGAGGCCCTGCCTGCCTACTTTTTAATGAACTTTTTATTTTGGAGTAATTTTAAATATACAGGAAAGTTGCAAAGATAGCACAGAAAATTCCCATATATCTTTCACTCAGTTTTCACCACTGTTAACGGTATCTTATGTTTACTACAGTGCATTTGTCAAAACAAAGAAACTGACCTTGGTATATTACATTTTTTTAAAGATTTATTTTTATTTATTGATACCAACAATAACAGGGGTGTAGGCCACAGAGGGGAGCACAGGCGGATCCACTGAAATACACTGCTGAGGGGAGCAGTGGGCGAGACAGGAGAGGTCTGCTGCACCATTTGGGTCAGCTCCCTGGCCGGGGATACAATTCATGCCACAGTGGCTGATGACAATTTGGTAGCGCTGAGACTTTAACCCCTGTGCCACCAAGGAGGCCCAAGTATATTACATTTAACATTGCATTTAGTTGTCATCTCTCCTCAGTTTCCTCGATTCTATGACAGTTGTTTGACTGCCTAATTTAACACTTACAAAAACAGTTTAATTGTCTTATTTCTAAGGTTCTACAAAAGAATACAAATGTTAACTTGATATTTCAGTATTTCCTTCATAAGCAGGAGGCAGATATCAGTGTCTCCACATGGTTTCCAGAGGCAAGAAGTCCCTTTTTTTTTTTTAGTTTGTTTTTTTTACAGATTTATTTATTTATGCTTAGAAGAACTGGGTGTAGGCCAGAGGTACAGGGGGTGAGAGAATTCACCAGAGACAGAGTGGGGAGCAGAACAGGTGTATTGACTGAAATACACTGTTAAAAGGAGCCACAGGCGAGGCAGAAGAGGTCTGCTGCGCCATATGTAAGTTAGCTCTCTGGCCAATATCAAACTCAAGCCGTAGTGGTGATAGCACTTAAACTTAACCCCTAGGCCACCAGGGAGGCCCCAATAAGTCCCATAATTTAACTGAGTCACAGAATTAACAGATTTGGACATGAGGCTACCCAAAGAGAAGTAGAGTTATTTGTTTTTGATTCAACTATCTTTACTGATACTTACAATAAAAATGAAATGGGATAATAGACCATGAAATAAATCTTCATAAAATTTCATAAAGTCATAATTGTTTGCATAACAGAACCTCAGAATCCTTACCATAAGAAAAAGTTGTAATTAATCAACTCAGTAAGGTAGATGACTAAGTGTAGAAATAACCTTATCCAGGAGAAGCACCAGGTGCTAAACAAGTTATTCAAAATTGATTTTTATTTATCCCTGTTCACACTTAAACATTCTGCAAACAAGCCCATGATGTTGATTAGGTGATGAAAGGGTTCTGGAGAGAGATGGTGGTGATGGTGTGCAATGTTGTGAATATAATCATTACCACTGAATTTTGAACTTAAAAATGGTTAAAATGGCAAAATTCATATCTATATTGCCACAATAAAAATGTTTCTTTGTTGTTAAGGTAAGAAAGTAGGACAACAGAGATGGAATTAGAATTCATCTATTAGAAGAGAAAAGCTGAAGCCATGAGAGTAGACAAGTTCTCTGAATGTGATAAAAGGGCAGAAGGCAAAGATGCCTAAAGGATGCCCTCAGTAAGGGTGTGAAGAAAAATATGCTTGCAAAGAAAGCGGGGGAGTCCAACCCACGCTGGGATTCCTAACAACTCTGGGAGTCATTGATGTGACCTAGGGCCATGAACTAAGGAGTGTGTCGGAGAAGGGACAGAGAACCGATTGCACATACAGAAAACTGTAAAGAGGCTGCCTTGGCAAGCAGCATAGAGTAATGAAAATTAAAGCAAGGGCCTCCCCCGTGGTGCAGCGGTTGAGCGCTGGGTTGCGAAGCTGCCCGCGGCCTCTGTGGCGCCGGTTCGATCCCCGGTTGCCCCCCGGCCACCGGAGGAGGGTCCCACATGGCGCGCAGACCTCTCCTGCCGCCCGCTGCTCCGCTCAGCAGTGTACTTCGGTCCTTCTGCCTGCTCTGCTCCCCGCTCTGGCTCTGGTGAATTCTCTCACCCTCCACGCTTCTGACTGTACCCAGTGCATGTATAAACAAAAACAAAAACAAACAAACAAATAAAAAAAAACATGCCTCTATTAAAAAAAAAAAAAGTTTAAAAAAAAAAAAAATTAAGGCAAGCCCAGAATAAGGGAGGTTTGGGAAAGGAAGCACAGGAGTTTCAACTTGATTTATTGGAAAGTAGGCTGCAGGTTAGATTTTTGCAGAGCGCAGCAGTCCTCCTGCCCACAGCATGTGGACTGTACCACGGAAGTTCTCTTGGGATCTTGGACCTGAATTTTATCATAATCATTTTCTTGAAGTGAAGAGAGGAGCACTTTTTAATTTATTTTAATGGTTAAAATACTCTGTTGCATGGATGGCATAGCTAAAAGTGGTGAACTATCTGTAGATAGTTAGATTTTTGCAGAGCGCAGCAGTCCTCCTGCCCGCCTGTGGCTATGCAGGGGCTGCTGGCAGTCAGCTTTCTCCCTCTGCAGAGCAGTGGCCCTCCTGCCTGCCTGGGACCTGTGACCATGCTGGAGCTTCTCTCCACTGACCTCCCTTTGCAAAGCAGCAGAGGAAGCGCTCCTCCCAAGTCTGCCCGTCTGCTACTATGTAACCTCTCTTTTAACAAACTTTTCCCTTTCTTGTATCTGTGCAAGCGTGCTTTACCCTTCCTTCCCTTTTATAATAAACCTGCCCTTTTGGATATAAAAAAAATTTTTTTAAAGATTTATTTATTTGTTTATACAAGCACTGAGTACAATCAGAAGCATTGGAGGGTGAGAGAATTCACCAGAGCCAGAGCGGGGAACAGAACAGGCAGACCTACGAAATACACTGCTGAGGGGAGCAGCGGGGCGCTGCAGGAGAGGTCTGCGCGCCATGTGGGACCCTCGCTGGTGGCCAGGGATCGAACCGGTGCTGCAGAGGCTGTGGGCAGCTTCGCAGCCCAGCGCTCAACCGCTGCACCACCAGGGGAGGCCCTATAAAATTTTTTCTTGCGAGAAAGGTGATGTGATGGAAGTACTATCTGGGAGGGATGGACCAATCAGCAGAACTGCAGGGGGCAGACAGAGGAGACAGACAGGCATCAGCTGTTATGATGATCTTTGTGGCATTAATTTCCTTGACTTGCTGTGCCATCTTTCAGCAAAGCCTGGATTTGGTTTCACATCATGCTTTGAGAAAGTTTTAATTCGTGAGTAGGAGAAAAAGGGAATTGTCTTGTCTTGAACCCTAATTATAGTTTTCCAGACAGTGCCAGATGCTTTCCATAGAACGTCTTCCTCAGTCCACACAAAACAATTCTGTTGTGGTAGTTTTTATTATCCCCATTTTACAGAGGAGGACATTGAGTTAGGTAACTCACTTTTATTCACATAGCTATCAAGTGACCGGTTCGGGTTTCATATCTGACTTCAAAGCTTTTGCACTTTCAAGTTACCAAAATTTTTCGGAGTTTATGGGAAAAACAAAACTGTTGTATGATAATAAATTGGGTTCAATTTTTTTTATCACAATAGTCAGTTGGGTTTTTTAATATTGCCATCATAACCTGAAAGTGCTGCCTTTCCTAAATCTAAAAGCTCTCTCTATTTAGTTCTTCAGCTGCCTACGTAAGAAGGAACCGACACACTCCTTCAATCATTTTCAGAAGACCTGAAGAAGTTTTCTTGTCCCCATCGCCTCCTTTAGTGGACGACACAGGACTCCCTTCTTATGAACAGGCAGTGGCACTGACCAGAAAACACAACGCTTCGCCTCCACCCCCATATCCCGGGCCAACGAAAGGGTTTAGGGTATTTAAAAAGTCTATGTCACTCCCATCTCATTAAGCCCACCTTGCTGTCTTGGTGGGATAGAGAAACTCATGTGATTTGAATACTTTGTTTTCCTGGGACCAAAAAAAAAGGACAGGTCAATTCATCCCTTTATGACAATCTGCAAGGAGGAAAGGAGGAATAAGCATGTGGACTGTACCACGGAAGTTCTCTTGGGATCTTGGACCTGAATTTTATCATAATCATTTTCTTGAAGTGAAGAGAGGAGCACTTTTTAATTTATTTTAATGATTAAAATACTCTGTTGCATGGATGGCATAGCTAAAAGTGGTGAACTATCTGTAGCCTTTGTTCAGGTAAAGGTTGTGGATTTCCTGTGGTGATATTAAAGTTAGAATTTCTAACCATGAGGATATCCCAAGTTATAATATTAGACCCTCTTTTTATTAGGATTTCTATTTAGTTGGAAGCACTTCATAGAATTTCGTATTTCAGTATAAATTGGAAGATTTGATACAATCAGTTCATTTTATATTTTAAATTATTGCATAACATTTACCATATTTTACAGGTTTTAATTGTTAATTCTTGTCATCAGTCATTTTTTATTATGGAAGTGAGGTCAGTAGTTTTCTTTTTTAGGAAAATACTACTTGTTATAGAGTTAATTCTTCAGAGGGTGCAGGGTTGTATTGGCAAGAATTATTATACCAACAAAGAAGTAAATTATTATACTAACAAATGGGTCTCAAACTTAGAAATGACTAAAACTTGACAGTTACCCATGTTATTGACTAGTAATGTTCATTGCTACATTATGTACATATAACTGTATGTAGTTATTTATCTTGAAAATCTATTGAGCTTTATAAATAATAGCTTGAAAACCTAGAAAAGTCTTTTACTTTTCTGCTATAAAAGTAACATTGATTAAAGTTACCAGCAATCTCTGTATCTCCCAATGTCTGAACACAAAAGAAAAACACCATAGGTAATCTTTTTAAACTGCAATTTGTTTCTTCTTCTAACCCTATGTATCACCACTCTCTCCTTAAGAAAGTCATAAACTTCTGCTATAAACCTTTGAATGAATGTATGTGTACACAAATGTTTATAAATGGGTATGTACGTTTATGTGAATTTGTTTCCTCATTGTAAGAACTCAAGAAATAACACACTCCTGAGTTATAGAAAATTCTGTTGTGTTTTTGTCAGGTATTGCATTTTCCTATTATTTAAGACCACTTATAAAATGTTTTGTTTTATAATTTTTACAGAAGTTAGATGAAAACCCACATGTATTTGGTAATTGCTTCCAAATTAAATGTTTAGAAAGCACTTATCATAAAATAGTGTGCTGTGTCTCTTTAAAAACAGCATGGTTTTAAGGCAGGAAAAACATGACCTTAATCATTACAGATTGTAACAAGATTTTTATTTTAGATTCTCAGAGTTTCTTGCTTGTTGCAAAAATATCAACTGGCAACATTTAGATGTAATTAGGAAAAGTGGTCTTTTTTAAGTCACATAAATGCCTATAAAAATTTTGCTATTAATCATACCTTGGCTTTACATAAGCATTTTTCTCCATGTAATTTTGCACTTTACACTTTACTGTTGTTTTAATCCTCTTTAAAATATCATAGGCAAATTCTATATTACTCACTTTGTAATAATCAAACTAAGGCATAGAAAGATAACTTGCCCCAAATTTAATACACTTTTCAAGTCAATCTTGCAACTATAGATTTCCACTGTCTCAAATAATGAAATTAGGAGATCTTCTTACATAATTCTAAATCTGCAAGAAATTTACAAGCATTTGCTCTATATGTGTGCATGTAGATAGGAACATATGTATTCTCACAATATGTATTTTTAGGATGAATAGAAATATAAGATCTGATATTATTTTATTGAATCATAATTTGAAATATTCCATGGGCTTGTTTACTCCCATTGACTCATAAGAGTATAACCGCAAAGTAAGCTTCAGAACCAGTGACAACCCCCTCGGCCCAGCAAGAGCCTCGATTTGTTATACAACATATTTAGTATAAAACTTGTCTAACTTGAATGAATCTAGAATTCATCAAGATTGTGAAATCACTGATTTCTTAGAGCACCCAATGTTGAGCTCTGTTCTTTAAACATAAAACAAACAAAAAAAAATGGATAGAAACATAACTGAAAAATGCTGATAGTACTTGAAAGGAAAATGTCTCAAAATTATTCCCATATATGCAATATTTTGTCTCATTCACCTTTTCCTATTCCTCTTACAACTTTTGGTGGTGTATTTTTTAATATTGTTTGATTGATCTGTTTTGTTTCTTTCCAGTTGACCATTAAATCTATTTTGACCCAAGGTCTTATACATAGTTAAATCCATATCCCCTTAAGTTACAATCAGGAAATGAAATGGAATATGGGTATGAAAAGGGAGTTGGGCTAGGAAAAAAAGACAAATACTCTTTTATAAGGCAATAGCTTCAGGAGGATAGATAATTCTACACAGAATATTCTCTTTTCAAAGTGCAAAAAAGAGAGAGAGAGCACAAACTCTTTGTCAAAGTGTTGGTATCTATTCATAATGTGCTCTCTGAGAGAATACATAGACTGGAGTGAAAACTCCCATAACAATAAAAACAAGAGCAACAGTGTCCTTGGTGACTTTGGTTTCCTGTTTACCTATGAAATTCTAATCATTTTTTCCTACTTCTCAGATTACTTATGTGCATGTGTACTTTCCTATATGTACAAGTGAGATTTTTAATGTAAAATGTTTGTAAGTACTTAACAAAAGGTCAATTTCATACTATTCATATTGTTTTTGTTCTAATTGAATGAGAGTTAAATTTTTATTAATTATTAGTTTTATTTGAAATATTGTGCATGGCATTTATACTATCACAGGAATGTCTAGAATTTCTGTAATTTTTCCTGAAAAAACTAGATTTTTCTGTGGATCCTGCATGTGTGACATTTTGGAATATGTTGACATATATTAATGCCTACCACCTTCTGTATTGTGTTGCTGCCAACATATTTTGCTTGTTTCCGTAACAGTTTAAGATAATTCAATACAAACATATCAGTATTTTCATTATTGGGAAAAAGCAACCCATTTTTGGAATGCTTTTTTTTTTATAAAGGATATTAATGGATTTCCTATTCACAGACACTTTTTTATAATTGTAAATAAACTTTATACTAATATTTACTGCTTGTTTCATTAAGCATTCTTCTTTCTCATATAATGGTATAAACTGACATATGCCATTACAGGAATTAAATATGTACAGCACATTGCATGTTTTCGAACCAATGTTCATTGCACAGTTTTGCTATACACCTTTCACCAGTGGACTATTTAAATGATTTGGCTGCAGTTGTGAAAGTGCCATTTTCTTTAACACATTTTTTTTAAAGATATAGCAACTTTATTTTTATTTTTGCATGGAAGAACTGGGGTGTAGGCCAGAGGTGTAGGATTCATCAGAGACAAGTGGAGACCAGAACAGGTGGATTTACTGAAATACACTGCTAAGGGGAGCAGTGGGAGAGACAGGAGAGGTCTGATGTGTCACAAGTGGGTTAGCTCCTTGGCCTGGAATCAAAGTCAGACCATAGCAATGATAAGGCTGATACATAACCTCTAGGCCACCAGGGAGGCCCTTTAACACAGTTTTGATATATAATTTATTGTTTGAAGCAAATTTATAATATACTGCCTTTTAAAATTCAATTTCTTTCTGTAGCCTATATTGATGCATAATTTAAAAGTCTGAAGAAAATATAGTAATGTAATACTATATTACATTCCTTTTAGGAGTAGTAGTACTTTTAGGTTAAGAGAAATTTAATAAATAATACAAAGTATCATACACATAAATAAACACTGATTATTATAAAATATTACTTCCTGTTAAACATTGAGAGTATCTGAAAACTTTCGGATCAAATTGGGTTATGCATAAATGTTAGTATTTATATTCGTTAAAATTATTTTAATCAAGACAATAAGAAGATAAGCTATAAAAAAAAGCTGTAAAAGACACATCTAATAAAGTAGTATTATCCAAATTATACAAAGAACTCTTAAAAATCAACAATAAGAAAACAAACAACCCAATTTAAAGAATGGGCAAAAGACCTGACAGGTAGAGATACCTCACCAAAGAAAATATACAGACACAAGTAAGCATATGAAGAGATTCTAACATTATATGTCGTTAGCAATAATTCAAAACAACAAAGACTTACTATCACATCACAATTAAAATGATCAAAATCTGAAATACCAGCACCAAGTACTGGTGACAATGTAAGGCAACAGACACTCATTCAGTGCCAGTGGGTAAGCAAATGGTACAGTAACTTTGGAAGACAATTTGGCAGTTTTTTTACAAAATTAAACATACTCTTATATATGATCTAACAACCATACTCCTAGTTACCGAAAGGAGTTGAACATTTATGTGCACACAAAAACCTTACACAAATACTGAGTTTTTTAGAGCATCCAATGTTGATCCAAATATTTAAAATAAATATATAAAAGTCAGTTTTATCCATAATTTCCAAAACTTGAAAACAGCCAAGATGTCCATTAGTGTGTGTGTGTCTAACTTTTTTATTTAACAATTCTGAAAGCTAGAAGTACAAGATCAAATCAACTGAGTTGGGGCCTCCCTGGTGGCCCAAGGGGTTAAGCACCAAACTATGAAGCAATCTGCAGCCACTGCAGCATGAGTTTGATCCCTGGCCAGCCAGAGAGCAACCCACATGCAGACCTCTCCAGTCTCTCCCACTGCTCCCCTCAGCAGTGTATTTCAGTCAGTCTGCCTGTTCCTTTGGTGAATCCTCTCATCCCCACATCACTGACCTATATCCCAGCTCTTTTATGCATAAATAAATAAATCTTAAAAAAAAAAATCAACTGAGTTGATTTCTTCTGAGGCTGAGGCTTCTCCTCAATTTGGTTTGTAGTCACCTTCTCTGTGTTTTCACACTATCTTCCTTCTGTGTGTCTGTATCTTTAATCCTCTCTTCTTGGGGCTACACCAATCCTATTGGATTATCGGATTGGATCAAATTAACAACACATTTTAATTTAATTACCTCTTTAAAGACACTGTCTCTAAATACAGTCACATTCTGAATGCTGAAGACAGGCTCCAACATATGAATCCCATGAGCACACATTTCAGTCCATAACACTGGCTTTCCTGTTGTTTTTGTTTACTAGTCTAGTTTCCATCATCTAGAACCTTTTCAAGTCTTTTTTTTCCCTCAATTCTGAGCTTTAGTGTGAGTTTTGATTTATTACTCCTAGCATCCAGTACCTCTTTTTTTTTTTTTTTTGGGACCCTCACCGGCCGCCGGGAACCAGCCGTTGTTGCAGAGGCTGTGGGCAGCCTCGCAGCCCAGTGCTCAACCACTGCGCAACCAGGGGAGTCCCTCCAGTACCTCCTTTCAATCTGGAGAGCTATGCCTCCCAACTTTAGAGAATTTTCTTGTATAATTTGTTGCTACTTCCTTCTCCTTTGTTTTCTTCACATTTTGCATGATTCCTGACAGTTGACTATTAGACTTCCTGGATTGATACACCATTTTCCATTTATTTCTCCTTCTGTTAAACTTTCACCATAATTTTCTATATTTTATCTTTCAATTCTACTAAAATCTATTGTTTAAAGATGGTCTTTTTTTTTAAGATTTTATTTATTTTTACGTAGAACTGGGGTACAGGCCAGAGATGCGGAGGTTGAGAGGATTCTCCACGGGAAGAGCGGGGAGCAGGCAGATGTACTGAAATACACTGCTGAGGGCAACAGCAGGAGAGACAGGAAAGGTCTGCTGCTCCATGTGGGTTGCTCCCTGGCCAGCCAAGGATGAAACTTGTGCTGAGTGGCTGGCGGTAGGTACTTGATAGCACTGTGTCTTGAACCTCTGTGCCACCAGGGAGGCCTAAATCTTGTGGGAACTTAACTGGAATTGCATGAGTGAATTTTTTTTGGTGTGTAGAATTTTAGAATAAGAATGAAATTGTTTCTCCACTGGACGGAGGATGCACTCATGGAAACAGAAGAGACTGGAGACATGTTGAACAAGAAACTGTGTTTCCCCAGAATTGGCAGAAATTTGGGAGCAGGTTTTGGACTGCCACAAGATTTTTGTGCTTCATTTATCTAGATGTTAACGAACTGAGAAATCCCATATCCCAAAATTGAATGTGATATCAAGTAATGATATGCTTAGTAATTGGTATACACGTACTAACATTAACATGCATGATAAATAATTAAGTAAACTCAAGATCTCGCCCAAACTACT